ATAAAATAAATCATGTGACTATTTTCAAATATCTGTCCCACATCAAATAAGCTACATGACTGTTTTTTTGTGATAGCATTCTGATTTCTTTGTGCATTCTGTAGTGAAAAACTACAAATAATATACTTTTTCCTGTAAAATAGTAACTTAAAATCGATTACTATATATAAATAGTGAATGTACATAAGGTATTGGATATATATACCACACATATATAAAGTGTGTAGATACACATAAAGACACATAATGAAATACCTCTAAGTACAGTATAAAACATCTAGGTGTTAAATATGTCTCCCTATGTATTTAGTGTGCCAGATATAGCTTAAAAGACCAGAGATGCATGGAAGAGAAAATGTGCATCTCTCCTCCATCACTCCAAATGGTAGAGATAAAAATAACACTTATGATAGATTCGCTAGTTTAAGGAAAAAAATACACTCCATTTCTAACATGAAGGAGAAATGCAACATCAGCTGCAATGCAGAATCCAGAGTTTGCTGCTCACACTTGGTATTTAATTACCAGTCCAGCAGAGGTTGGGATGGAGAAGCACCAAACACTGCTTCATACAGACGCTTTCTATTAATTCAAAGAGGAAAAGTGCTGTGGTCCAAGAACATTCAGACTCTCCCTGCTCTGCTGAAATAAGTGCAACAGACGGGGCTTTAGAATAATGAAGTAGGGGAGGAAATAATAACAAAAGGGAGGTTTTCCTGAGAAGGGGTAGGAAATTATGTGTAAAAAGAGCCATGGTGAACATCCTTTCTTACCATAGCAAGGAGAAAGCGCACAATCACGAAACTGTAGTAGTCAAATGTGAAGGCCACTGCGATGCCAAATACAAACTGACCAGTACTTGTGAACCATATAACACGTTGTCTTCCCAGTCTGCAAATCATAGCAGGGATAAAATGGTGAATAACCATAAACATGCTATTAAAATACACCTGTGACTCCAGAGAGCCTAGCTGGAAGTTTGATAACTCACCATGGAAGCTCTGGTTTAGTTACCTGTGTTAATTTTTCAGTAACTCCAACTTCCAAGAAAAAGGAAGCTCTTATGGATGGAACTTCCATTTCACAACTCTTGGCTGGAAGCAATGTGCAGTGGGCATTGCATGCATTCACCTCCAGTTTCAAGTTTACCTTCCACATAATTGATCTGCAAATTTATTTATGAGGACAGCAATCCCTTTTCCAGATGTTTTATATTCAGTAGCATCTTGTTAATAACTTCTAACAAAAGTTACCTGTGGTAACACATGCCATCCCTTGCCAAAGTAACAACCAATTTGGGTAGTAATGAAAGGCTTCTGTAACACATATTTGTCCAGTTCTTTAAAATGGAATTCTCTAATAAATAACAATTATATAGTTCCCCTGAATTTTCTGACTGCATCACAGCACACATACATGCATACATCAACACAGAAATCTGGGAAGATAGTACACTAACAGCAAAAAGCATGTCAAATACTAGCTTCCCATCAACTTGTAGCAGTTTGCAGTGTACAAGAAGGGCAGTTAGTAAAAAAGAACTTCTGTTTGCTTTACTACATCCTGTATCTCAGGGGAAAAATATACCAAATAGAGCCAGTTGTCCCTAAACAACTGGGCAGGTGCTACCCATAAGAAGCTCATTGGAGGAGAAAACCTAGAAATCAGCAGTAGATACACAAGATTCTATTGAGGATTCATTACATTCTATCTACAAATGATCTGTAACATGAAATGCATGGAATCATTTTTCTTCCCTGATAATACTTTCTTCAAGTCTTATTATCTCCTCCATTGTGAACAGCGTTTCACAGATGTGTTTAGTCAGAGTTTGAGGACTGTCAGGGGTGTGTGGGTTCCTCTGTAATTATGTTTTTCTGTGAGTATTTGGTACTCCATTGAAACTCCTGTTTTTCTCCCTCCAACCTGGACCTGGAGTCATGCACATTTGGTCTTTCATCCATGCCAGAAAAGATCCCAATTAGTCTTAGCTATCAGAGCTCTTCTGTTGGGAATTCTGTTAACTGGTAATGGGAGGCACAAACAAACTTATTTCCCATCAGCCAAGATGTGACAGAAAATAATAACGCTCAGCTGTAAAAACCTGCAGTTGTAAATCTGCAACTCAGAATGTGTGTATTATCTTAACTGGCTGTCCATGGCTTGAATTGATGGAAATGAGAACAATAGGATCCTAACCTTATAAATCATGGCTGAGTATTAATTAATAAAGTTATGAATGATTTAAAGGGACACAAAATAAATGTTGGCATGATATTCTGGTTTTGTATTAAATACAGTTTCACAAAGCCTTGGATGGGGAGGCAGATTGATTCCATGTGTTCCAAAAGCTGAATTAAAAAAAAAGATCTCAATTACTTTTGCATTCCCATGTTGTGTCACACTGCAGTGCTGTGCTAATGAAGGAAGATCAGAAAACAACATGCCTGGTCTCCTTTTTCTGCTTAGCCTGTTAGATGTGGGATAAAGCATCACCCTCCACCCAACAGAATTGTCAGTCAACAAGCTCTTTTATAGAAAGAGGTAACTCACTCTAAACCAGCCATCAAAGCAAAGCACTGGCACATAAACTGCCTGAGACAAACCCAAGTGCGACGTAGCTTGGATATTTGACTCTCATATGGACAGAGGGGCTGGATGTTCTCGGAAGTAGGAATGTGTTCGTGTTGAGAGAGAAAACCAACAGAAGCAGGAGGATACAGGCATACATCCTGAATATCTGCTGCTGGATCTCAGTGTGTGGTCTGAGATGACATCCAGGGAGGAAGTGTTGGATGGGAATGGGCTGAGGAACAGCCTTGGCACTGTGAGCAGAAGGGACTTCTCGGTCCCTTTTGAGTCCCACCATGGACTGACTCTCCTCGTGCCCAAACAGAACTCTGTCCATGCTGGTAAATACGTGAAACTACAGCACAACTCACTCACACCCATTTTTCCTCCTATCTGGACTAATCTTCAAGAGACTAAAGTTTCAGCTAATTATTCAGGAAAATACTGCAATTGGACAGCAAGGAAAAATAGTGTGCAGACTTTGATTTTAAGAATGTGCGGCCTGAGCAAACCCTGGAAGCCTCTGAGCCCCACTGAGCTGTATTCATGACAGAGGTTAGGAAATGTGATTAAAAAAATACATGATATTTAACATTCTACTAGCCTTTCAGCTGTTTATCATACTACAAAATAAAGATCTACATTTCCACGAGGAATTTATCCTCATAAAAAATAAGGTGAAAATCTACTCCCAGGTTTTACCACTGCTATTATGACTAACTATTGCTATTGCTGATAAAAATTTAAAAGATAAAAAAAAAAATCTAAAGGCAAATGCTAGCTTCACAGGGCAGCTTCAGGGATCCAGACCTGGAACAATGAATGACATAAAGTAGGGAAAAAAATTCTAAAAGGAAATTATTTGAGAATACATTTTAAAATCAGCACTTGAGTTAAAGAGCTCTGTGAATAAAGCAATACCCTGAATTGTGAATACATAATTATGAATACACAATGACTGAAAACAACAAAACAGGCAGATACATGTGGAGTTACTGCAGTCTGAGCCTTCAGTTAATGGCACTTTACCTGTCAGCAATGTCACCAAAAATCACTGCTCCAATCAAGACTCCAAGCATGAATGTAGGCTGGATTAGTTTTGCAAGCCATTCTCGGTCACAGACCAGATCCCACTGTGTGACAACAGTGCTCTTCCACTTCGTATCATCATAGAGAAATCCATCAGAGCAAGAAAACACAGACTTGTTGCCTTCATATTCATATGCCAAATCCAAACTCACTTCTCGCTTGGACCTGCTGCATTGATTAAGTTCCCAAATTTCTCCTTTTTCCAGCTGAACTACAATGTAATTTTCTGTTGATGTCCATAGTGTCCAGATGTCCTCTATATTTGATGCAGAGGAGTTGTGGAAAAGAATACTACTCACATTTCCAGGGAACCCACATACAAAGTTAGGAGTAACGGCCATGAACACAGATGCTAAGTAATGGATACCACATGACATAGCTTGAAAGACAGATGCAAAATAAACACAGGCTTGAAATCTGCAAAGGGAAAGAAAAAAGTTTACTGAAGAAAATCTATACATGAAAAATAAAGTCAACATTGTTGTTTTCCCGAGATCAGTAAATGGAGACATCATTAAAATGTCTATAGTGTTTTGCTGTGTAGTACTGCTCCAGTATTAGCTAATCCCTGCAAGAGACCAAGAATGAGAAAAAGATCCCCAGTAATCTATTGTCAAGACATAAATGCTGCTCTTAGTCATGTGTTTAGTCATAGAGAAGACCATTTAAAATTAAACCATTCTGAATTTAAGCACTTAGTTTGAAGCAACCTTCCACCCTCCCATTCTCTGCAGCACATCCCCTCAAAATAAGGCCTTAGATTACTTGGATGGTTAGAAAAAAACAAAATGTTGCAACTTCAGGTTCTTAGGGATAGAGATATGTGCATCAAAGCAAACAAATCAAACACATTACACCCCTCATTTCATCTAATAGTATCTATATAACTGTTTTCCATCTATCTTCCATCTCTCTTTACTGCCTCCAAGAGACAGAGTACAAGTAGGCACACGTAGAAGAAGATAGAATCTGAACAATGTGAAATGTTTTGTACCAAAACATAGCTCTGAACTGAGTTGGGCTTTGGTTTAAACAGGGTGTACAGTTATCCATTAAAGATTGTATCATAAAGCAAACACAGTAAAAGAATGTTTTATGTATAGCCTGAATTTTGGCATTTTAAAAGCTTTTAAAACATGCTTGAGATGCAACTAAATCTCAGTACAAAAATTTCAGATGTCTCCTGAATTTCAAGACTTGCAACAAACTCTGTTATCACTGTGTGCGAATTCTGGACAGTTTCAGATAATTTAAGCATACGGAGTTTTTTTCCTTGATGAAATGTTACAGTTATGCATATGATTAGTATAATATCTTCAGAAAAAAACAACATATAACTCCCCTTTTTATTTCCTGGAGGCTAATTAATTCCAGTCATTTGAAGAAGCATTGAATGAAGTTCTATACATACATCTTTACTGCACTGTGTGGTGGGTCTTGATAGTATGAAACAAAAACCAGATTTTTAAAGAGTGATCAGAGGCTATCTCTGCTGAAGTTACAGGAAATAATGTCTAAAAACCAATTACCTTGAAGTGTCTTGTGGGAAAAGTGGGAGCTATTCCTATCCCTGTAATAAATGGAGCCTCTAGAAACTCCTCTCCAAAATGTATCTCATCTAGCCTTGTATTCCTGCAATAAAGATTTCAAAAGTGCACAGAATAGGACTTCTAAATCATCCATCATCACAATTTCTAACTAATTTCTAAAATACCTGCAAGCAAGTATTTAAATGGAACTACTGGACACATTGTCTTAATGTCCAATTAACCTTGCCAATTAAACAGTTGTCTTGCACAACACACTTCCATTCAGCATCCTCATTCTCCTCTGTCTTTTATCTTGTGATTCTTATTTCTCTCCTTGGTAAATGTAAACCCCCTTGCCTGCCCTGGTCTTCTGATGGCATTTGAAGTTGCTGTTGTTCACATGCAGTGCTTTTTACCTCCTTTTCCCTCCGCAGTGGCTCTATTGACTTTTCCATAGCAGTCTGATGAGTTGGTTGAATTGCTAAACCCACTGTGGCAGCTCAAAAACTGCCTCCATTTCCCCCTTGAGGATGCTGCAAGGCAATCCTCACACAGATGCTGTGCTCTCTTTCCCAACAAAACTGAGAAATATGGACAAGAGAAACTGAACATGACCACAGCAACCCTTATCAATGCCCTCTCAAGAGAACAGCTTCTTGAGGACTAAGTAGTTAGTCATGAATCAAACCAAGACTGAAATGACTCTGAAAAGCTTTTGGGCTATCTTGGACCACAAAAAATCAAAGGTTATTTTGAAATGTAACCTTTGTCACCCTAATGATGCAGACAAATATGGTTAACAACATTTTTTTAGTTCCTCTTCTTTAGTTTCATTTTAACTGTTCCCATAAAACGACACAAACTCATTTTAAAAATAGCACAACCAAATTCAATGACTTGGGCTATTGTTGCAGTATGCAGAATGCCTAAAATCAGGACTGGAAGACCTCTAGAAAATTAGTAAATTAAAACTCTGGGAGCTGTGCAGCAACATCTTCTAGCTAGTAAAAAGGGGCATACCTGGAAGCAGGACCCCCAGTATCTGCAAGAGGTGTCACTATGCATCAGGAAACTGCAGTGTGACATAGCCCAGCTGATATCTCCCAGACAGAGGAAGAATGAAATAATCTCAGACTCCCATACATACTTCTTGAGTTTCCTAATTAGTTCTCATAATACAAGAAATATCAGGTTTAGCATTTCTCTTCTATCCAGTGAGTAGGAAAAATATATTTATGCCTTTTTCTGCCTGTTGGAGAGGCTTGAAGGAAGATAACAACTTGTAAGGATACAGACTGAGAAGGTGGCAGGAACAATGCATTACATGAATTTTTAAAAACTCAAATCCCAGGAGTATCACCAGGGCTGTGATTTGGAGCAGGCCTAGTTAATCTCTGCTCCAACTACTCCCTTGAGAGTTTCATCTTATCTCTTCCTGAACACTTCTTGTGATCATACTTCAATAACCACTCTGACAGACTGCTCCACTGTCACATCTTTCTGTTGGAAAGTTTCTCATTAAATTGAATCTTGATGGCCTCTTTTTAAATCTAAGACTATTACTAGCTTATAAAACACCCCTGTGCAACCTTGAATAAATCTTCCATGTCTTTTATCACTCCATTGTATAGAATTCTCACTTAGCCCCCTCCAGTTACTTTCTACAACCATACAAATTACAGCCCCTTACTCTTTCCTTTTCTTTGTGTCCTATAGAGGTTTCCACCTCTATAAAAAGCAATAAAGGATTCACTTGAAAGAAATATCTGTGTCATGCCATATTTCATCCATCTATCAAGGGTTTAACTTAGAACTAGGTATAACTGATCCTTGTAAAATGTTCTTCCATTTTCAATGTTATGAAAATCTTATTCAGTTCCAACAAAGAAATCCACTCTGTAGTACCATTATTTATCTTACCTAAGTTGCAGCACCAATACTAAGCAAACACAAAATGTCAAACAGAATGCTAGATATACATTAAGAGGCATAATTTATGCTGCATATTACTTCACTTAAGAATAGGAAAATGTGTTTTTACAGCAAAATGACCATGTTGTTGCAGAATTTTCCAGGATGGATTGCACTGCAGTTTTTGACCTCTAACTGCTCCATAAAAGAGCCAAGGAGTAGGCAGGGGGAGAAGGAATAGGGGAGAATAAGGCCTGAAGTTAGAAAAATATTTGGAAGCACCAGTGTCTGAAGGCATTCCACACCACACAAAAGGGCTGCTGCCCTGCCTGTGAAAACTATTTACTGCTCTCTCCAGTAAAATTCCACACTGGGCTGGCTAAGCCTCTGTCTGTATATACACATACACAAACCACACATCCTTGTTTCACTGTGGAGGCAAAGTTCCTTGTTGACTACAGCAGTGTTGTAACAGCATCCCCACTGATGCTAGACTGAAAAGCCCAACCTTACAAGCTGCTGAGAATCTCCTGTGGGTAGGAATGGGTTTTCTTCTCGAAAGCCCAGTGGTGTAAAGGTCAGGAAATTCCCTAACTTGCATAGTTACCAAAAAGAAATGAATCAGACCATTAGTGACAAATACAGAAAGCACGAAAAGTATGTAGGAAGGATGATACGTGGGATGAGAGAATTCTATAGGTGCACTGAACTTTTTTTTCCAGAACAACTGAAGACTGAAAAGCATCAAAGACACAGGTTCAACCTCATGGCAGACACATTTGCTGGAACAGATTAGGGCAACAGACACTGAGCAAGGAGGAACACAGAGCTGCTACCTTATTTATTGCTTGCCTGGTATCCCTCCTTTTGAACCTTTAGGTGCATGAGTTTTATCTCAGACCTCTTTGTGGCCATGTCAATGCCCTTCCCCAGTCTTTAAGCCCTGGGGCAGCTTCTTGGCCCATGCTCATGTGATGGCTGAGCAGCTTCTTGTCTTTGAGGAAGGACATGGTGCTGGGGGAGCAGAGGAGCTGTGGCTTGGGCAGCCTAGAGCAGCCCCTGCCAGCAGGAGGTCACAGCAGAATGTATACACTTCACTGACCCTGGGGCACAAGTTAAAGTCTATGCTAAAGTCTATAATTTACCTACCATAAAAGTATTAACTTTTTTCCCAAATTCTTAAGAACACCAAACTATTAAGGAGTCCTTTATAACTAAGCAAATCTCTCTGTTGCAGACAAATATGTATTAGAATCATAGAATCATAGAATTTCAAGGGTTGGAATGGATCTGATAGATCATCTAGTCCAAATCCCCTGCCCTGGGCAGGGACACCTCCCACCAGAGCAGGTTGCTCAAGGCTCATCCAGCCTGGCCTTGAACACTGCCAGGGTTGGGGCAGCCACTACCTTCCTTGGGCAACTTGTGCCAGTGTCTCACCACCCTCACAGGGAAAAACTTTTCCCTAATATCTAACCTAAATTTCGCCTCTTTCAATTTGTATCCATTGCCCCTTGTCCTGTCACTGCAGCTCCTAACAAAGAGTCTCTCTCTGGCTTCCCTGTAGCCCCTTCAGATACTGGAAGGTGCTATGAGGTCTCCACACAACTTCTCCAAGTATTAATAATACTTTTATTAATCTCACCAAACTCCATTTTTGAAGTTAAATTTCCCTGCTGCTCAAGCATCAAAATGATAAAAAAAATACCACTGCAGTGGCAATAAATATTCTTGAAAGAAAGCAAAGTCTGTGATTTATTTTCCTGGACTGATCTCAAAACAGGCAGCTTTTGGCAATGGTAGTTTATATGCCAGTTATCTGCACATACACACACCAGATTACAAAACATATATTGTTGCAAACAATCATTTTCAATAACCTATTTTACAAGCACCTTATTTTTTTTCTTTTTCAAAAACACACTTTGTGTAATTTTTAAAAGTTCTGTGAACATGATGACTGTCCTAAAAGGTATGATAAT